TTTGCTCAAGGAGAATTCTGATTGGCTCTGAAGACGGCAGATGTTCACGCCTCTTACATTCTTCTTACTTGAGTCATAACTGCCGAGCTCGGTGCAGACGAAATACACAGTTTCATCGCTGCAACCCAGAATGAAAACACTCATTTTTCTCGTTGTCTTGGGAACATACAACACAGCAGCAGGTAAACAAGCTCAGTCTGTGTGTCTTATGGCTCTGAATCCGCGGTGCTTTCAAAGTTTTCATGTTTACTTTCAGAAAACCCTTCGCAGAGCACAGCGACGTAATAGTATAGATCGCTGTGGGTCGTGGTATCCGGTACATACCAGAGATGCGTCTTTGCTCATTAGCACGAGGTCGTTGCTGCTTTTCCTCCTCTCTCTGTGAGATCCGCGGAGAGGCGTTAAGTAGCGCTGATGTAGTTTGCTCATCTGCAAGATGTCGGGATGACAGTACTGACCTGTCTCTGTGTTTAGCGACTTCCTGCGACTCTCTGTGTGATGAAGTCTAATGTATCCAAAACGTAGCATACATTCCTATCTCTTACAAGTTCAGTGTTTATTGTCATACGCACAGTAAAGAAACATGTTCCCCGCACAATTCAATTCTCCACAGATGCCAGTAAACCCAGTTATAGAAACAGATATGAAAGATGATATAGTAGGAGGAAAAACAGTTATCGAGTTTCCACCTGACTCCAAATTACAGCTCTCATCCTAATTACCACAAATAAGCATTAAACAGCAAAACAACCACCAGGGGAAGTGAATCTGGTCCATGAGCACCAGGGTCGTCACACTACAACAGAAAAGGAATCCCCAGATGTGCTCCAACCTAATTTTTTACATACCTGTGACCACCTCGGCCATCTGCAACCAAAAAGAAAATGCCTGGAGCAACCCCTCATAATCAGGTTTTGATTAGGGAACTAGGACAAATTTAGATGATTCCTTACATGCTGATCAGCGTGTTAGCTGCAGTGTTTTAGTAACACCTTTAAAACCTATGGCGTAACTGGGTCTGCTGTTCCACAATCCAGTCATGAGTGCTGCCGCCCACAGGCTCATGAATCCTTCGTAAAAGGCAATTGATCTAAAAATCAAGAAAAACGGTGACTTATCAGTCGACTGATGTGGTAACCTGTGGTAGAAAACAGGGACAGTCTCTTTTCTCTGTGGAAGGAAGGGTGCATAGTACACTGTGCACAGTGTGATTAAATTCCTCACACTGACCATTACCAACTGGATGGTGAGGGATGGTGTGACTTTCTCAATGCCACACTTTTGGCAAAGTTGCTGAAACAGGTTGTTCTCAAAATGTCTGCCTTGGTGTGGAAACAGCTCCCAACTTGGATCCAGGATCCAGATACCTGTCTAATCCTACTTTAGTTATGCAGCAATAGGGTTAAGCTGCTGGGTGCTTCCTATGATGCACTGAGTGTTTCTTCTTCACTTATCTCTTTTCACTCTATGTATTTATACACCTCTCTACATTTATTATCAGTTATTATTAATCTCTGGATCTCTTCCACAGCACTCCTTTGTCCTGTCTCCCTTCCTTCACCCGCAACCGGTCACTGTGGATGGCCAACTGTCCTTGAGCCTTATCAGTAGAACATCAGTCAGTGATCATAGGATAATAAAGGTGGAGGGGAAATGAAAGAAGTCAAACCCAGATTTATGTTTGTTTTAAACTTCACACCCTTTTTTGTAAAGGCATCTGCTGGTTCATACTGGTTCCACAGTCTCCACTGGTGGATGACTTGGGACGCTTGCTCTGTAGCTAAATAGAGAGAAATGAGGAGACAACTGACTGACACCTCAGTTGAGTCTCAGTTGACTTAGAGATCTAAAGTGACCTACAAAATCTCTCAGATTCACCTGTTGGTGTTAGTGTGGCTATCCTCTGGATGTTTTCACTTAATTTTAATGATAATCTCTATCAGTTTTATTTTATTTTTTTATTCCACTTGTTTTCCACTGAATTACTGGTTCATTAGTTAGCTAATATAAACTAATGTAAGCAGCAACTGACCAACCAACTCAGTGATGTCACGTTCTGTGCTGGCAAAAAGATACAGCTAAACATGATCCAAAACTTTTAACTTTAAGAGCTTATTGCTTAAATCCAGCTCCACAGACGGTTACATCTGTGTCAGTTTTTAAGAACTCCGTGATGAAAATTAGCCTTTATATGTGCAGTTTTATATCCACTTTAACAACAAAAGAATATGTGTTGTCTGAAATGTTTCTCAGAGTGTTTGAATGCATCTTGTTACATTTTTACCAGCTGAATGGTAATTATTATTCAGAAATATTTAAGTACAAATTTAACTTGAAGGCAACTTGCTTTTTGCTTGTTTGTTTCAGAGCGACACACTATGACATACATTGAGACTGCAGCCACTGGTTGGAATGAATCTCCTGAGTTAACTGAAGTCATATTTGTAAATGGTCAGGAGTTTGTGCATTATAAGAGCAGCTTGAAGAAGATGGTACCCAAGACTGAGTGGATTGAGAAAACTGTAGATCCTGAATATTGGGAAAGAGAGAGACAGAGAAACATACACAATGAGCAAGCGATCAAAGCACACGTCGTCTGGCTAATGGAGCGTTTGAATCAGACTAGCGGTGAGTAAAAAACACTGAAACCTAAAGATCCTCCTGAGATAAAAGAACTTTTTTGGTGATTTCCTTTCCCTTTTGGAGCTAAATGAGGCCACTTAAACACATGAGATATCAATGGAAAGCACATGATGTCCTCTATTAAGAGCATCAGGACTTAGTGGGGCAGCTCAAATAAGTAAAAAAATATAGATCAAAAACAAATGTCCATTGGAGAGGACATAAATGGACAGCCTGATTCTCAGGAAGATATAATGTTATGTAGTGCTGATGTGTGTATTTGTTTGTGTGTGTACACAATCCACACTTCCTGATTTTTTTGTTTTTGCATATTCTTCACACTTACATGTTTCACATCATCAAGCAAATTTCAATATTAAACAAAGATAAGCCGAGCAAATACAACTGCAGTTTTAATGATGATTTCATATATTAAGGGGGAAAAAAAGCTACGACCCTGAAAAAGCCATTGTCTCCTAAACTGGATAACTGGTTGTGCAATCCTTGGCAGGAAGGATGGGGATTGATGAGAATGTAGTGATTCTGATTTTATCATTGATATCACTTATCAGTTCAGCTTCTTATCGATTCTCATGGGTTCTCAAAGATATTCCAGTCATACAAATTCATTGCAGGCTGTGTGGTGAACTGTTTGTGCATGTTCGAGGTATTTGACCTATTTGTTGTGATCAGAGTTGTGGTTGTTATTTAAAAAGTAATGTATTACACATATTACATAGTAATGCAGTACATTATTTAATTACTCACAGAAGTAATTTGTTATACTACTTGTTACATTACATTCGTGTTACTCTGTAAAATGTTCTGAAACATGCTGTCATATAATAATCAGTTAATAGTATAAACCTATAAGTTACAGTCACACACACCAACACAAATCACTATCCTAATGACAACACACATGTGATCTTTGTCTTAGTAATTTGGGCATGAACACAAAGTAAAGATGAAAACCAGCACACAGCGACTTCAAAGTGATCGTCACGGTGATTCTGCTAAAGATGAACAGGTAGAAAACGGGGCTGCAGTCTGACTGCTCACCAGTTTGTTAACTGTTGAAGTTCAGGGTCTGGCTGAGTTCTGCATTCAGCTTTAACATCTTGGACAGCTTAGCGTTAGCATGCTGTCTGGCTAGCTTAGCATTAGCATGGTGTCCATGCAGATGCTAGCAGAGAGCTGAAATTGTGTTAGCAGCATAATGCAGTTGTTTGTGTCCTGGAGGCAGTTTGCACTTTACCATCACACACGTCCTTTTGTTCAAAAAAAAAAGAAAAGAGAGAGATTGTCCATATCCATTCTGCAGGCTGCCATTTTCTTCCTCCTACACAGTGAAATCAGCTGATTGTAGCACAAGTGCAAATGAAACGAACAGGCAGGATCACTAGGCAAGCTGACCAACAAATCCAAACTGGATTACTGGGAACCAGTGTTCTTGATTCCCATCCCTAAATGGCAGCAACGACTGGAATCAATCATTTGTTTGTTGCTCAGTCACATTGGAGGGGTTTTGAGCACAAATGACCTCTTTAAGCATCTCAATCAGATTTAAGTCCAAACTTTGATTAGACCACTCTAAAACCTTCCTTTAGCCATTCAGTGGTAGACTTACTGGCATGTTTTAGATCATTGTCCACCTGTGTAACCCAAGTGTGCTTTCAGGGCATGTTCTATGTTCTATGATTGATGGGTTTGTTGTGAATTTTCACTGGTGCAGCCATAGCATGAATTTGAAAATTCAGCTAAACTTTGATATTATAATGTTAACACAAAGGTGATAACAGTTAAGGGTCTCTGTGGCAGAGGTGGCAAAAGTACAGACATTCAGTACTTAAGTAGAAGTACAGATACGCGTGTTAAAAATACTCCAGTAAAAGTAAAAACGTACAGACTGTGAAATGTACTTAAAGTAAGAAAGTAAAAAAGCAGGTCTTTGGAGAACATTTGTATTTTTGTGCAAAGCTACCTGAACATTGTGTTATATTAATGTAATAATAAAATAATATTAATAAATGAGAAACAAACTTTAGTTTAAAATTGAATTCTAATAAATGCACTTAGCTTGAATGAGTCAAGTAAAAAATGAGCAGAGAAAAAGAAGAAAAATTTAAAAATATCTCTATTTTCTGTTCTTACATTGTAGAGGATGACTTTGCCTCCAAGCAGGAAAAAAGAGTAGCGACTGGGTTCAAATGGGATTTAGCAGGTGGCAGAACCCTAAAATTGGTTGTGGTGGCTGTAGGAATGCAGCTAAGATAATGATGGGAAAGAAAAGGGTTTGCTGCTGGGTTCCTTTGACCCAGACCACAGTGAATAGTCTTTATACACAGTTAATTAAAGCAAGCCCTAAAAAGTTAATTCTGTTCATCTGGAAGAAATGTTTCGTCCACGGAAGACACTGAAATAATTTCATTACCTGGCTGATTGAGTATGCATCAAAACAATTAAAGCAAGCGTTAGAGTGTCCAGTTTCCAAGAACATGCTCTCTCAGAGGTGTTTTGAGTGTCTTGTGGACTAAATAGCAGCTCCAGAAACACTGATTTGATGTGCTGACTTCATAAAAAGGATGTGTTTTGTTGTGTGTCTTTGATTATTCCCTACATAGGGTAGCTCAGTGCTTTTTTGTCTATATTAAAAACACTGAGGCTCTCTTAACATTGAATAAAAAGGACTGCTTCTTTACAACAGTTTGAGGGTTGCTGTCTGCTGAACAGCATCTAAAGATAGAATATCTCTCATTTACTACAGTTCTTTATCTTTCAGGTGTTCACATTTTGCAGTGGATGTACGGCTGTGAGTGGAACGAAGACACAGAAGAGGTGACTGGATTTGAGATACTTGGTTATGATGGAAGAGATCATGTTGCATTTGACCTGAAGACAGAGACATATATTGCTTCAGCACCTCAGGCTGTTATAACCAAACATAACTGGGACAGAGACAAAACTCGCATATTATACAAGAAGTACTTCCTCACACAGGAGTGTGTTGACAAACTGAAGAACTTTGTGAACTCTGGGAGGAAATCTCTGATGAAAACAGGTAAAATCACCAGATTTAGAGCAATGGACACAATATTCATATGACTCAATTTCTGTGTCCATAATAATGAAAAAACAAAAACAGTTTTCTAATTTTTCTCATCACCTCTCTTCACTCATATATTTACCACTGTGTTTTGTTTTTTACATTCATGGCTTTTTGTTCGTTGTTTTTCTACTAACTTCATCTTGGTCCTTTCTATTAAGATTCTTAGTTTCATTTCATGCTTTTATTGTCAGTTTCCATCTCTTCCTTATTACTCTGCATCTATATTTCTCTCGTGATACACTGGTGAGCTGTCCACCTCTTACACATTGACAGCTAGGATCGGCTCCAGGGTTGCAGAGCAGCTTATGTTGGATAAACTGTCATGGTCCTGGGTCTTTGACCCAGAAGGTCTTTCAGATTCTGTTTATTATTAAATGTCTTCAGTTTGATTCTTAGTCGGCTTTTTTTTCATCTTTGTGTGTTTCCTTCATGTTTTCTACCCTGAGTTTAGTTCCAGTTTCTGTTCGTCTTGTACTGTGTTTCTGTGAACTCTTTATTCCTTACTAACATTACACTTTCTAGTATGAACTTTGTGGACACACTTGGCTTCTGGCAGCCTATCTATCCATCATATCTGGGGTGTTCCTTGTCTTTTTCCTATGACAACAGAAACAGTAATATTAAAGTGCAGTTAATAAGACATAACAAACTAAAAACCTCTTTACTCTTTAGTTCCTCCCTCAGTGTCTCTCCTCCAGAAGTCTCCCTCCTCTCCATCAGCTGCCACGCTACAGGTTTCTATCCTAACAGAGCCGAGATGTTCTGGAAAAAAGATGGAGTGGAGCTTCATGAGGGTGTGCACAAAGGAGAGATTCTCACCAACAATGATGAGACCTTCCAGATGAGTGTTGATCTGAAACTTTCATCAGTCAAACCTGAAGACTGGGAGAGGCACGAATGTGTGTTTCAGTTCAGTGGCGTCAACAAGGAGATCGTCACCAAACTGGACAAAACAAAAATCAAGACCAATACAGGTAAGACTGGATTCAAAGGGAGATTATTAATCTTTAAAAATATATTTATCTTTCTTCTGGCCTGTTTTGTTATTCCATGTACACTGTAACCTGTCATCACCACAGTGGTTCAGTAAATGGTCACAAAAACGAATCAGCCTTTAATTACAATCTGATTTAAATAAATAATTTAGAGTTAATGGGACAAAAGGTCAAGATCCAATAATATATTCACAGCTTTATTTTTTAATTCTCACTATGCATTTTGGGAAAATGTTATTTTTATTTTTTACATTTTAGTATTTTCACAGTATGTTTCTCATCAAGTTCACAAAAATCATCCTAAACTGTGCACAGGTTACATCTGATGCTGATATTCTACATAAAGGATCAACTTTCCATGATGTTTATTTATAACTTGTTTTCTCACAGCATGTAAAAACATAAATATATCCAGTATTGTAACACAGTTTTCACTGGGTCAGTCATTATGATGTAGCTGCTGAGAATCAAACAGTAACTGTGATTCAGTTATTCTGACTAAACTCATCCTAAAACTCATTATTCACTGATCTACACTGAGAATATATCAGGTTGTTTAAGTCCTGCAATACTTTTAAAATAATCAAAGCACTAATGTCATGTAAATGTAATGAACATAGTCTGATTACTCACTGGTCTGTGAGAGAAATATTGTAAATATTGTGGTTTCAGGTCCTTCAGGGTTTCATGTTGGTGGTGTTATCGGAGGTCTTGCGGTTCTTCTCCTGGCCGTCTGTATCGGAATCTATTTCAAGTTACGAGGAAATGGTAACGAGCA